TCTATGCACCAGTGGGGGGGTGAGGTTCTTTGCCTCACCTCTGTTGGCCCCCAAATTTGGCCTTGGTGCCAGTGGGGGAGTGAGGTTAATGTGGCTTATGGACCGTGCCTGGTAGGTTGTCCAATTCAACATATGGTTCTTACCCGTCATCGGAAAACTGACCTTTAGGCGTCAGCCTCCTGTCTTAGGTTGATACCACTGCAATTGGATCATACCCGTCACTGACTACCGGTCCAGCATAAGCCATTGGCCCCCAAATTTTAGACCATCACTAGTAGAAGGGAGGAGGATACAGAAATGCCACGACACCAAGCCAATTGACGGCTCCTTGGGAAAAATTGCATCACTGGTGACACCATCAGCAAAGATATGTCAGCACTACCACAATTAACATGGGGTGTGCTGGCAAGGAAATAAAAATTGCATCACTAGTTAATCACTGTCGCAGATGTAAGAATGGCCAAGCTGGAGTTCTGGATATCAGCTGTTATGGATTTGAGTCAAATCATCTTCTTTTCGATCTGTAGAAACTGTTTTAGTTCATCTCTCTGGAATCCAAATGGGCTGCTGTTCTCCCTGTGGAAAAACACAAACAGACCCCCGACTCCAGACAATCACTGGGTCAGGACCTTTCCATTGTCCTGTTAGAATATCTTTCCAAAGTACTTTAGGCTTATGTACATTTTTTGGATACATATGCCTTTCCGCAGCACTAAGTCCTGATGAATCCAAATTTTAAAAGTTTAGAGTAAAAAGCGTTATTTTAAGTTTATCTTTGGGGGATATATACCCCCTTCCAATTCCCTCTTTTTGCTTTAATAAGCATATGTCTGTATCTAATAGTTGTCTTAGCTTTTTGCATTTTCTATCTGTGTAATACCTTACTTGACATTTTCAACCATTTTCTATCTTATTTCTATCTTCCAGTTTTTTTTTTCCTAAGGTTTGTATTTTTACCCTTAGTTGCTTATTTTCCTCCTAGTTTTTTTTTTTCTTCCTATTTTGTGGGTTTAAAATTCTTGTCTTCCTACATTTTTTATCTTTCTACATCTTCTTTATCTTTATTCTTTTTAACTTTCTATACTTCTGTCTTTAAAGTTTTTCACTTTAAATTTTTAATCTTCTTTATCTAAATATCTTTTATCCTATTATCTTCCCATTTTTTTTTTAAGTAGTGCCTTTAAGATTAACTAGGCTTCGAATGATGCAATAAAGCAATCTTTTTTCCGCCATGAAGGTATCTCGACCACCTTCAATTTAACCTTTTAAAGCCTTTTAATTATCATCTATACTGTACTTTTAAATGTACTTTTTCACCACCTACAACTTCACTCTTTTAAACGAGGCTTAGATTCTGTTTAAATCGCTTTAATGTTAGTTTACATGGCTGCCCTTCAACCAAAGGCTTTTTTTTTTTAACTCCATTGAGAAGCTTTGTCTCAATCTGCCATGTACAAATATCTTTTTCTTCTTTCTTCCTTTCTCAAGCTTTTAAAGTAAGTCTAGTTTCCTCAAAATCTTTTTAAGTGGCATTTTACAACTTTTTACTTTACCACACAGAGATTATCTTATCTAGAAACATTTCTTTTTCTTTTAACCTTCCATATTAAAATATATTCCCACATCTTGAATCTTTTTATATCTTTTTTAACTGTTAACCCTTTTTATAAATTTACATTCTGAAACAACTCTTATAAAAATTCTGATTTAGAAAATTACTCCACTTTAATAAGATGAAAGACTTTCATGTTTTTATGATACTATAATACTATAATTGAAACCCAACTGAAAATTTTTCTACTCTTTGTATATAAATTACACATGATAGAATCTTAACACTTAGTAACCTTGTTTTAGCAAAGACACAGACACAAAGCAATATTAAACATTTTTCCATTTACCAATTTATGAAAACACACATAATGTTTAAATATATTACCTTATGGAACTTAATAAGTAAAGAGTACTTGATTTCATATTTAGTGGTTGATATTTTAACACTTTAGCTTTGTAAATTAATCAGATGTCTGTAAAAACCAAGATCTTAGACAAATGTAGTAAACAGAACTAGCCATCTCTTTCTTGTTGAGGAAAAATTCTTCTACAGGATACCATGATGGTCCCATTGATATACTTAATAATTTGTCTTTAAAAGGCCATGGGCTACATTTTTGTATTGTATCAACATATGCCCTAATTGTTCTTGGTCTCACTGGGGTGCCTCCTTCCTCTAACAATTTCTCTTGCTCGGAGGTGAACAACTTCAAACCTTGAGTCAACCATTTTCCCCAGTTTGCCTGAGAAAGTTCTAGGAACAGGCAACTTGAAATAAAATCAAAATAAATCAAAACAATAACACATTGTTTTTTGAAATGTTCACCCATTCTTTCTCTCTTCCTCAAGGGTGAGAAATTTCACTTACCTCTAAGATTCAGAAGCTCCCCGTACGGGCCACCAAATGCCGCAGTCTGGCTGGGCACAAATGCCGCAGTCTGGCTGGGCACACAATCACGAGCCACCACACAGCTTGTAGATTCAAACAGCAACTCTTTATTCCCGAACTCACTAATGCCACAGTCTGGCTGGGCACAAATGCCGCAGTCTGGCTGGGCACACAATCACGAGCCACCACACAGCTTGTAGATTCAAACAGCAACTCTTTATTCCCGAACTCACACCAGCCGTCTACAATCACGTTCTGGGGAAATCCACGTTCTCTGCCCAAATCCACGTTCTCTGCCCAAATTCACATTCTCTGCCCAAATCCACCTCCACTTGGCTTCTGTCTCCCAAAATATACTGTCTGAATCCCGTGAGAACTCAAGGGGAACTCAGGCAGCAGGATATGCCCTATTCCCAGCAGGAATAATCTTAAACCTTAAACCTGGAACCTAAACTGGGAACGCCCTAAACACGATTATCTTAAAACCGGGAACACCCTAATCTGCCTTGGTCCTTGAGCAAGGTTAAGTACATTCAATGTCACTGCAACATGGGGTACGCTGGCAAGGAAATTGTCATACTTACTTGGCTAATGGCTCCCAGCATATATATATATTTTTTTTTTTTTTTTTGAGAAGGTCTTGCTAAATTGCCCAGGCTGACCTTGAATTTGCAAAGCTCTTGCCTCAACCTCCTGGGATAACACACGTGTGCCACCATGCTCAGCTTCTATTTTTAATTTGTACTTTAACTCCACTTGTATGATTCATATTCTTATAAACTTATTAATACTATACTGCATGACTTAGTATATGATTTATCCTGAAGAATATTTCATGTATGGTTAAAAATAGGGTATTCTGCTGCTGTTAATGGGTATTAGCTTAAGTTGGTTGATAATTTTTCTTTTATATTCTATATAGCCTTGCTGATTTTCTTTCTATTTGCCTCTATTAGTTTTTGAGAGTGAAGTATTAAAGTCTGCAAATATTATTGTTGAATTCTCTATTTCTATCTTCAATTCTGTCCATTTTAGTTTTGCATATTTTGAGTTCAGTTGTTAAATATTTATAAGTTTATAATTATCATTGATTCATGCTGAATTGATCATAAAATGTCTCTCCTGCCTTTTATATTACTTTATTCTGTTTGTATAAACTCCTAGAAAAATATAAAACTACAGGGACAGAAAGTAGATTCATGATTGCTCAGAATCACAGATGGAGAGAAGGAATTGCCTGCAAAGAGGAAGAAAGGAACATTTTTGAGATGATAAAAATGTTCCATATTGTAGTTATTACATTTGTTATATAATTATGTATGCAATCATCAAAACTTAGATTATACAACTTAAATTTAGTCAATTTTATTATGTATAAATTTGGTTTCAATAAAACTGAATTTTAAAATGTATGATGATAGCTATGACTAAGTTAAAAGTACCATGCTACTTAATTGTTATTAGTGGTGATCATGACTTGAAAGGGAGGACTATCTCTCCCGAAAAGAGGCAGATATAATCAAATGGATCTCCTTCACATCAGATTTTTATGGGCTGATGCTTTTATTTTAAGAACCTTTTTTATTGTTGATTTTTTTTTTACCAAACACATCTTATATAAATTCTCTGTGTTTGTTCCCTTTTCTTTATTCAGACATGAATTTACAACATAATTCAAGTCTACAGCTCAAATTAAATCTTTCTGCATTAGAAGACCATCAACTTCGGTGTTCTAATTCAGGAGAACATAGTAGTTACCAAAAAGACATTTATATTGCTTTTTCAATATCTATGTGGTTGCCTTTACTGATACTATATTTCTTCATGTGGATTTTAGTTATCATCTATGTCATCTTTTTAGTCTGATGTAGTTCTTTTAGGACAGATCTGCTAGTTGTGAATTCCTTCAGCTTTTGTTTATTTTGGAATATGTTTTTGTCTCCTCCAACTTTAAAAAATTGTTTTGCTCTATATAGAATTCTTTTAGATATTTCCTGGGAATTTGCACAGCTCTGAATATACATGTAGACTTCTAAATCTTCAGGAATATGCCAGAACTTTTTGAAGGTCCTGTGGACATTTCTTCCAGATAGTCCAGTCTTACATTCTGTTTTTCTCAACTGGTATTGTAGCCTTAGGCAATGGCTGTGTTAGATAATGACAGTCGATTGTTTCAGACAGATGACCTACAAATAGGGATTTTCCCATGGAGCAATTTCTAACTCATATTAAATAGCAACCTATGCCCTGCAAATGGGACTTTTTCAAGGAACTAAGAGATCTGCCTTAGAGCACTAGCCTTAGAGCTAAAAACAGTGCTCTGGAAATGTTTTGTTTTGTTTTGTTTTGTTTTTGAGAAGTTTTGCAAAGAAGCTTCTTTTTCAAAAATACCATCTTGTTTGAAATTCCGTGTTTTCCATCTGGATGTATTATTTTGATAATAATTAAAAGACAAGTTAAACTAACTTTCACAAGTAATTTATTGTTCTTCACTTAAATGTGTCACTTATACTATGTTAATTATTGAAAATAGACTGTATTTAGTGAGGGTGGAACAAAAGGGACAGCACTGTTTTATTTTAGAGAATCCATCCTTTTCAGCAATTAGGCAGGAAAATTCAGGAAAGGTAACTTATACAGATTTTAAAACTTCCTCAATTTCCATGGATAAAGAGAAGAAAATACAGCTTAAGAGAAATTTTGGATATTTCAGGGGCACAAGCTTTTTAATTATTAATATAATTGGTGCAGGGATTTTTGTATCTCCCAAAGGGGTTTTGGAGTATTCTTGCATGAACGTGGGCCTCTCCCTGTGTGTTTGGGCCATCTGTGCCGTGTTGTCCTTGACAGGATCTCTCTGCTTTGCAGAGATAGGAATAACCTTCCCATACAGTGGAGCTCACTATTATTTTCTCAAGAGATGCTTTGGCCCCTTGATCGCCTTCCTGAGACTTTGGACAAGCTTGTTCGAGGGGCCAGGGATAATTGCTACCCAAGCCCTGCTTCTTGCTGAGTACAGCATCCAACCTTTTTATCCCAGCTGCTTAGCACCAAAACTACCAAAGAAATGTCTAGCCCTGGCCATGTTGTGGAGTGTGGGAATTCTGAATTCTCGAAGTGTGAGAGAAGCAGCCTGGCTTCAGATGGTAAGCACAGTGCTGAAAGTGGCCATACTTGGCCTTATTTCCCTCAGTGGAGTGTTCATGCTGGTGAGAGGCAAGAAGGAGAATGTAGAAAGATTTCAGAATGCTTTTGATGCTGAGTTTCCAGACATCTCCCAGATAATAGAAGCCATCTTCCAAGGATATTTTGCATTTTCAGGCGGGGAAACCTTAACGTACATAGCAGGTAATTACCAGACTATTGAGAAAAAATAAAAAAAAACTCAAGCCCTGACTTATTGTATACATTATGAAATGCACATCTTTTTTATTGTATTTTGAGCTTTATCTTAAATAAACGATTCAATATTTTTTCCGGTCAGCCTCATACTTGCCACTTACTTTTAATTATTTTTCCTTTTTATTCCAAAGTTCTTTATTGAACAACTTCTCTTTTTTACCTTTCTTTTCTAGGACCACAAATATGAGACTCCTTAATTAATATTTCTTTTTTTAAAAACCACCATTTCATTGTTTTTCTCTTGATTCTCTTAATCTTTGTTGACCTTTGCTTCAAATGCTTGAGAGAAATTTTCTTATATATTGGAAATGATTGGCTTCCATTGGGTAGGATGTCACCTGTTTCTATTGCCAGTGATCAGGGCAGAGGGTGACATTGTATAAACAAGTCTGTAGTTGTTGAGTTCATTGGGTTGGGGTAATTTTTAGAGAATGTCAAAATTGAGAAAAATGGTGTGACAAATTGAAAAGCATTTGAAAATAACAGTGTTCTAGAAAAACCATTACAATGATGCCAAAGCATGCCCCCTCCCCTCCCGCCCCCCCCCCCCGTTTTTGCACTTACTGTTGGTATAAAGGAAAGGGAGAGAAAAATCTATGACTGATTCTTTAATTCTCTTTAAAATAAGCCTTGCAAATGTTTAAAAAGACAATTTTGTCAACCAGGGATAGTTTCCCTCTCTTCCTTTCCCAGAAGAAGTAGTAATTTTGCTGTGCTGTGTAGGGATCATCTAGGCAACTAGGAAAAGTAAGGTCATTCCACATAAGAGAATGGCCACATTGGCAAGCCAGGGCATGACATTTTTGAGGAATAAAAAAGTGCCATTCTGTCTATTTATAACAGAAATGGCAAATGGGACCATCAAATTGTCGCATGATATATCCCACAACACTTTGTTTCCAGATGATCAAATAGTCATTATCTTAACTTTTGTTTATGTGATTGTTCAATGGTTAAATTTTGTGGAGTTTTTGATCACTATTTTATTCCTACTACTCTAACTCAGTGCCTGGTTCCTACTAGAAGAGAACGAAGATGTAGGTAGGTTTCAAATGGTTCAGGCACTATGGGCTCAAATTTCATTTTTTATTTTTGTATGTTCAAAAAATTATCATCTATGGGAAATATTTGGGAAACTTTCCCTTTTCTTAGCACTAAATTTGGAGTGGGATGGGTGTGCAGCGGCTTGCTTCTGTGTTTGTGTGTGTGAGTGTGTATGTGTGTGTGTGTAGAGGAGGAAGAATCCAGCCTAATATTTGAAATGTGTAACAATTTTAAAGATAAATTTAAGAAATGATTTTTTTTGCCAGATATGATTTTGCTCTTTCATGTTTTATAGGGGAGCTGAAGAAACCCAGCAAAACCATTCCCAAATGCATATTTACAGCAATACCTCTGGTGACTGTTTTGTTTTTACTGGTTAACATTTCCTACCTGACTGTTCTGACACCCAGAGAAATTCTCTCTTCAGGTTTGTACACAAATGGCTAAGGCAATAAATAAAGTGTTGCTCCTTTCAGCACATCTTAAGTATCACTTTACCAGTCAGTACTGCTATTTGTTCTTCATTATTCTATATATAGAGTACACTTGTAATTTTCTAATAACAGAGTTCTGAGGAGTGTGATTTGGCTTAGAAAGGAGATTCATGTTTAAAAGCATGACTATACATTTTCTGATAATGTGGAAAATGTTTGTGTAATTATGATGTAAAATTCAAGAAATTAATTATTCCTTTCAGGATTGCTTTTTATCACAGTGACATTGTACAATCGGTGTTTATATCTACTAAAATTTTCAAAGCATTTGATTCTTGACATTTTTCTATGTGACAAGAAGAAATGATAAATTTAAAATGGAAGATACTAGCCATTAAAAGAGTAAATACTAATGATTAATTGATGCATATGATTAATATGTAAAATTGTGGAGTTCATACTTAATAACTCTAACTCTAAAATTTATAGTGGTAAAAGACCCTGAAAACAGTGGAAATTTGGCTAAAAATTACCATTTTAAAGCTCACATTGTAGAATACAGTGTAAAAGAATAAGAAAATTTTAGAGAAATAAACAGATATTTAAAAATAGCAGATTTAAGAAATAAAAAGAAAAATAGAAATTGAAATACAGGGAAAGTGGAAGTCTAGCTATTTTCTCACACCAGCATTAAACCTTAATTCACCACCTTCTGAGATAAACCTGTCACCCAGCACCTATAGGACTAATCCCTTTTCAAGCCTTGTAATGGTGGCAGCAATTTTGTAGGTGGCACAACAGTTGGGCTTGTGTGGAAAATTCATGAAGTGTTTTAACTATAATCACTTGTAATTTGGTTTATAATGCCTACTCTTTCAGGAATACAGACCTAAGACCATTTAAATTCTGAATTAGTATTTTTGAATTTAAATTTCTGCATAAGTTCAAATTAAGAAAATTAGTCAGAACTACATATGAAAAATATCTATATAAGGATGGCCATCAATCACATCATTAAGTGTGGCAGCAAAAATTAAAGATCACAAAGTATCCAATAAATTTGTAATAAACACAATTTAGGGGAAAGTACATAAAAGACTATTCTGAGGCTGTGGACTGGCAGTGCACATCTGTAACCCCAGCAACTCAGCAGGCTGAGCAGGAGGATTACAAGTTCGAGGCCAGCCTGGGCAATTTAGTGAAACCCTGACTTTAAAAGGGTCTGGGATGTACCTCAGTGGTAGATCACTTTCCTAGCATGCATGAGACCCTGGGTTTGATTCCCAGTATTGCAAACAAAACAAAAAACCCATAAAAGATAATATTTTTGATGATGCTTAAAGGAAGAATGTTTATAATGCAATACTGATAGAAAATATAAATTGATATTCTCACATAAAACAGAAAAAGATAGTTAACAATGATGATCAATTGGCATAGTACTGTGATTTTTTTCCTTTTTTTTTACACTGAATTTAACAAATTTTCTTTAGTGCAGTGCATAATTTGTATAATTAGTTAGAAAAGTTACCAACAAAAGAATTAGAAATTTTAAGGATTGAGGGCTGCATTTGTTTCAATCAAACGGGTATATCAGAAAGATGTGAAGAATTTCTAAGTGCAGAGGGATATCTCTAATACAATGTGGATTGGTTGTTACATTTTATTCGAGGAACACTGAAAAAAACCATACCAACTGTAATAAATATTAGATTCTAAGTGGTAAAAGAACCAAAGGTGTTAATCACGTGACATTTTTGTCTGTGTCAGTGTTGGAGAACTGACCTGTTTCTTCATCCATTGTTTTCTTAGAAGAAAGGAAATATTCTTTAGTGAGGAAAGAAGGGACACCATCTAAAACAAGGTGTATGGAAATGTGGGAGTGAGGAGGCCTGGTTCCATTTTCTTCAGCCCTAGGATTTCAGTGTTCTGGAAGCCTGCTAACACATTCTGACAGGAGGGCTTACAGTGGTGTCGTTGGGGTTTTGATGACATATTTAAGACTAGAGAATATTGGCACAGGACAAGATTATTTTAACAGGAAATAAACTGTATGCAGACAGAGCTAAGAAGGTTTTCTTCTTCAGACATACCTTCTAGAAAGCTGGTCTCAAACACCCAGAGGTGGTTAAAAATTTAGAAATTCAAGTGGGAATTTAAGAATTATTTGCAAGTTGATACAATCATTTTTAGAGAGTGATTTTATAATATTTTCCTTACTTGACAGTGTCTACACCTTTGAATTCACAAGTCTCACTTCTAAGAATTTACTCTGAGGAGAATAATACGATTATTAAAATTTGAAGCATGACTTTTTATTAGCAAAAAACAAACAAACAAAAAACACCTGAAAATATCAAGTATAAACACACACACAAGTGTAAACACACACACACACCCCTCATAGATGCTTAAACAGTATAATTGTAGAAAATTTGTGGAATAGGATCCACACAGATGTTAACAGTAGTTACATTTGGGGTGCATGAATGAGAAATTGTTGAGGAGAAGGACATTTATTTTTTAATTCATGAATTCAGTGCTATTTTACTTTTTACAAAAGCATATATGATACAATTTTAAAAAGAAAAAATAGCACATGGAAAGGAGTAGAAAAGAGAAAAATCACTTGGATAAAAATTATGTAGGAAGATTATGTATTATTTTTGCCAGCCACATTGGGAGAGCTGCACCGGATTCTCCTCCTATTATAATCTACTACATTTGTAGGACACTCACTAGGAAATTGGAGAATTTACTTTTCATTACAAGAAAAAATTTTAAAAAATGTATCTGAAAGTGGGTAGTTATGTGGAGGTCTGGACAAACAATTAACAATACTCTTTTTGAAATGATTAAGAACTGAAACTAGAGATATTTTAACCACTATTATAGAATAGTATCAAAGAGAAAATCAACATGACTCCTGAAGCTATTAAAAATGGGTTAAAAATAAAGATCTTGAGAACGTAAACATCGATGATATTTTAATTTTGTCACATTTAAAAAGTCTTTTTGTTATATAAACTAGTATACTGATGTCCAGTTCCCCTGGAAACCAACCTACCTACACATCAAAGTGTAATCCCAGAGGGCACTACCCCCAGGGACATTAGGCCCTGTTGTGCTTATTCCACTGAAAAACTGAGAAGTTGTTTCTCTGTGATAGAATAATCTGTCCTACTGTATATCTATGTAGTACAAATTGAACTCAAGTGGATTTTCATCAACAATTGATGTTTATCTTCATTGGTGATTTTAATACCTACTGCCTCATATTGAATTGGTATTATAATGTCTCTTCACCTTTAAGCCAAAAAAAAAAAAAAAAGAAAGAAAGAAAGAAACAAAGAAAGAAGGAAAAGAAAAAGAATATTTTCTAAAGATTCATCTGTAGCATGTATAGCAGGGTTTCTCAATTTCAACTCCATTGACATTTTTGGACATATATTTGTGTGTGCTGGGGATCAAACCTAAGGCTTCATGCATGCTAGGCAAGTGCTCTGCTACTGAGCTACGTTCCCAGCCTGGACTGTGCAGTTCTTTGTTGTATAGGGCTGTTCTGTGCATAGTAGGGTGTTTAGTAGCATCCTTGGCTTGTACCCACTGGGTTTCAGTAGCAACTTTCTACCCCGATAGTTGTGATAACCAAGAGTCTTCAGACATTTCCACATGACCCCGCGAAGAGCTAAATCACCTCTAGCTGCCTGTAATTTAGACAAATCCCAAAAGTCATACATGTTTTTATTCTTGTGTAATTTATTTTCTCTGTGTACTTGGTTCTTTTTCCTGAGTATTTTATTACACACCGTGGTGTGGTAAGTCTCATTCCTGGGGCAACAGGGTTGCACTGTGCTTTTTTTCTCTGACTGTATCTATCAGCACTCTGCACATTTGTTTTAGAAAACAAGCATGCCTTCAATCATCTGTTCAATAAAACCAATTCATTTTACAAGTATTTATTGAAAACTCACTCTATGTTGGCGAGTGAAGTACTAGTTTTGTAGAAAAGATATGGAGGGACCTTGCCTTCAAAAAGTTCCTGGTCTTTTGGGGAAGACATAAACATGATAAGCACTTATGATAAATTGTGATGAGGCTAAAATGGACATATGCATATGACATTATAACAAAAACAAATTTCTATTCTCTTTAAATTTTTTGTTTTCAAATAAAATAATATTATTAAAAGGCTTATGCTTCATTTCTCTTTCTTAACACTTTTCCTTTCATGTATTTTGTTTCTCTGCAGATGCTGTGGCTATTACATGGACTGATCGAATGATCCCCCAATTAACATGGATTATTCCTTTTGCTATTTCTGCTTCATTATATAGCAACCTTTTGTTTAATGTGCTTGACTTAACAAGAGTGACATATATTGCAGGCCAACAAGGCCAGCTGCCTTTGTTATTTAATACACTCAACATTCACTCCTCTCCACTAATATCTGTACTACTGATTGTTGCTCTGGCATCCACTGTGATCGTCTTAACAAACCTAATTGAACTGATAAACAATCTTTATTTCATGATTTCTATCTGGACTGTATTAACAATGATGGGAATACTAAAACTGAGATACCAGGAGCCGAATCTACATAGACCTTATAAGGTAAAAGTGGGTTTTCTAAATACTTTTTTTCTATGTGAAATAAAACATATTACGTATAACTATATTTGAAGATTATAGTCAGGACATCTGTGAGTAGATGTTTTACTACTCAGCAAATTGTGAAACACGTAAGGATAATCGGATCTTAATTTTTTATTTTAAATTTTATTGGATAGGCTTTACTCAGTATAAAGACTGTAAGTTTCCATCTAATGGTTCATTAGAAAGATAATTCTCGGGTGATGGGACAGATCATTATGCGTCTTTTGACCAGACATTACTTGGTTTACTTATGTAGCTATTTATACAAACAAGTTTCTTCCACATTTGGGGTAAAATTCAACAAACGAGAAAGAGAAGAGGCAAAGTGAGGTCCCAAAGGATGACATCTACTGTTCAGAAACATCAGCTTATTTTGATCATTTAACTGATTTTGATCATTTAACTAATTTCATCATTTCAACTTTGCTACTTTTAAACTTACTTTCAGTCTAGATGATGAAGCATTTCACAGGAGAGGTGACAGTACTTTAACCATAGAAAAAGATATAAGCAAAAACTTAGCAGCATAAAGGATATGATAGGGAAAGATGTCCTAACAGATATCCAATAGTTTTGGTTGGCTAGGTAGTATGTGCAAAGATTTGCTTGGATGATCACCTTTAATTCCTTCAATAATACAAAAGGTGTATACTAGCCAGGCTCAGTGATGCACACCTGTAATTCCAGCAGCTTGGAAGGCTGAGACAGGAGAATCACGAGTTCAAAGCCAGCCTCTGCAATTTAGCAAGGCCCTAAGCAACTTAGTGAGACTCTGTCTCGAAAAATAAAAGGGGCTGGAGATGTGGCTCAATGGTTAGGAGCCCCTGGGTTCAATCTCTGTTACCAAAACTGAACAAACAAACAAACAAAAAAAACAAAAAGGTGAATACTTCTGTTCCATTTCACAGACAAAGAAATGAGTTTAGAGGAACCAGGTCACTCCTACAAGAGCTCACATAGCATGGAGCTAATTCCTCTAAAGGTCCTAGTTCAAACCAAGATTTGAACTAGGCAGTCTCTTCAGAGTATTTAACAAAATAAAAGAAACTGTTCTGGGAGGAAGAAATGAATGTCTCAATCATCACAACTTTGATTGACTGACAGCCATCTTTCCAGTTCTCCCTTTCCTCCTTCCATCCAGCCTCCACTTCAATGTTGTGTATTTGAATATTTGTTATTGAGAAGTGACTATACTGGAAGCACCTTCCTAGGTTCTTTGGGTTGAGAAAGAAATTAAGACTTGGCTCCTTCCTTTAGGCAGGTTATAATCTCTTGAAACAATCAGGTGACACAAAAACCATAGTGTGCTAACTGTTCCATAGTGGCATCCAGAGGATGCTTCCTTGGGAGAGGATGTATGGATGTATGGTATGGATGTCCATGGTTGATGTCTATGTTGCCCCTTGGAGGGGCCTCCCCAAGGTCTTCTATCCTTCTGGTTTCACACCCTGCATCTTTTCAGTCTATCTCTTCTTTGCTGTTTTCTGACCCACACTGTTAGATGCAATTAAAGAAAAGCTATGAATCAATTATGAATTTGTAATACGCCAAGAAACAGTATAACCATTAAGAGCTTGGACTCAAGTCCCATTACTCACCTTTTTTCTGTACTTTATCTTGTTATTTAACCTCTGACCCTCCGTTCCTTCATATCTAAAATGGGGATGCATAATACTTGCCTCCTAGAAATGTTGTATATGCTAAATAAGCCAAGGCATGGTAACAATCCAGGGTCAGACATTAATGGTTAGTATTTTTTATATTATTATTTGACTTATGTTTGTGACAAAAGGAAGGCCAAGTACAAGGTTAAAATTTTCTTGTCTTCCCACATTAGTGCTTTTTCTTCCTTTCTCAATTATTTGACAACTAATGTTGAGCTGTAGGATGATCGTTATCTTAGGGGTATTTTTGAAATTAGGAGGAGATTCTTCATTCATTAAAGCCCGAAATGAAGGACCCTCTCATTAAAGTGTTTCATAAATTGTGACTAGATGTGTTGTATTTTAAGGGTATAAATTCATCTCAAAAATGACTGATATTATCTCCCTAGAATGGGTAATATAGGATCTCTCTAACCCTAACACAAAGCAGGTGCCAAGGATGGATCTTTAAGATTTTTGGATAAACAAAAAAACAGGGAGAACTGTTTGAGTCAAGTTTTTGGTTTCTTTCTTAATATGCTGAGCTTATAAAGTCATAATTTTTTACCTACCAGTATTTACCAATGTAACAGAGAGTCTAAATGGTCTTTATGTTTTTGTTTTGAATTTTTTACTAAGTTGAAATATTTTCCAGGGAAGATGGTTGTGACCTTCCCTTGGCCCTAGAAACTCCTTCTGAACAAATTCATGCCATCAAGATCATCAGATGGTTATTTTACCAGCACATAGTCATAATTATTTCCAGGCACGAACAATCAAAGGCTGCATGCATCCCTCCAACCTAACCTTACAGATTAGAGTCTTAATCATTTCCTCTTACTCAGGCATTTATCAAAAGTTCTAAGCCTGGTTTATCTAACTTAATAGCCAATTTAGCCTATTTTGTATCATTAATTTATGCCTTATTTTTTGTTTACATAAATATGTATGTATCATACATGAATATTCATATCTAATTATTATTCTTTAAAATTTTGCTCTTTTTAGGTGTTTTTGCCATTTACATTCATAACAATGGCCATCAACCTGGGCATGGTTTTGATACCATTGGTAAGGTCTCCCAAGATGCATTATATCTATGTCTTTCTGTTTCTTCTCAGTGGACTGCTGTTTTACATACCTTTAGTATATTTTAAATTGAAGTTGGTTTGGTTTGAGAAGATGACTTGCTATCTACAATTACTATTTAATGTTTGCATTCCTGATGTATCTGATGAAGAGACAGAAGTAGATACTTTAAAAAATTAGCCTTCTGGCTGGAGTTGTAGTTCAGTGGTAGAGCGCTTGCCTAGCATGTGTGAGGCACTGAGTTTGATTCTCAGCACCACCTATAAATAAATAAATAAAGGTTTATCAACAACCAAAAATATATTTAAAAAAAATAGCCTTCCAAAAAATACAAAACAGACTATGGGATATTAACAGTGAAATTCCCATGACAACTTTTTCAAATGAAATAATATGTGTAAAAGACAGAACCTGGCTTTAAATTCATAGAGAAATAATTATGCATCACTAAACCTCTGTTTTGTTTGATAATAAACTTAAATCAGTTTGCACAGCTTGATATATTGATGCTATCACATTTTCTCATTTTTTTTCTGTATCACATCCCTTTTCTACTGAATTTGTACTGCTCTAATAGTAAAAGTTCATGACTAAAAATAAATAAAGCATTCTCTTCATCATAAGTCTATTTTTTTGGGGGGTGCTGATTTGAAGTTATAAAGAATGATTCCATTTGTTCTGTTAGCTTTTCCCCTCTAATGGTATATATTTTTAACCTAATTGTTATTTTTAGAAGCATAAGTTTTTAAATGATCTTCATTTGGTTGCCTTTCTTTAAATTCAGAGGTTCCTCAGAAGAACAATCTTACCATGTCTTTCCTGGACTAAAATTTGACCCATTTACAATCTGTGTTTATTGTATGTATAAAAATTGTGTGAAAGGGGTGAGTAGCATTCCAGTAGACACCCTCATCTGGTAGCATTCAATTTTTAAAAATTTCTCTACTTAATGTAGAGTTTTAAAGGATCTGGGTTAAGAGATGTCCTTTCTGTTAAGGTAGCTGATGCAAATATCCACCAGAGACACAAGCTCTGAGTTCCAGCAAAGGTTTGACAGAGAATGTCTGCCAGGCTGCCCTTCTTCAAGGCGCAGCAGCAGCACCACTTGAATGGAAGCTTAAATATCTTTTGGACAAGGAACAAAAGCAAGCTGGAAATGACCTTGGGTGCAGCAAGCTAGAATTGACCTTGGGTGCAGGTGGTTGGGTAACAGCACATTTTTGTATTTCGGGATCTTGAAGTCGGGGTAGGGTATGGGAACAGGGTATCTTAAGTTTCTATTTCTTGGCAGTTTATAAGTTTTGGTTTCTGGTCAAGATAGAGTACCAGAACCAAAATGGAGTTACTAATGTCTTGGGACCTAACATTTTCAGAAAGCAGAGAGGCAGGGGCTGAGGTTGTGGCTCAGTGGTAGAGTGCTCACCTAGCATGTAAGAGGCGCTGGGTTCTATCCTCAGCACCACATAAATGTAAAATAAAGATACTGTGTCCACCTAAAGCTAAAAAATAAATATTAAAAAAAGAATAGTTTGTTCAAAAAAAGAAAAAAAGAAAGCAGAGAGGCAATATCAGAAGACATTGAGCAATCTTTGTTAGGCAGCTCTGTTGCTCATCTTTTTGTGCCTCAAAGGTGGCATCCACAGATGCCTCTTGTCAAGTGTAAGGAGCCATCCTCTAATGTGATAGTTAATCATTTCCTCTTCCTCCTCCTCCACCTCCAGTACTTCCTCCTCCTCCTCCTCCTTCTTCCTCTTTTCTTTCCCCTTTCTATTCTCCTCTTCCTTCTCTTTCTTTTTTAAATTTTATTTTTTGTTTTGAGATGGGTTCTTGTTATTTTGTCCAGGCTGGCCTCAAACTCCTGAGCTCAAATTGTCCTTCTGCCTTAGCTTTCCCAAGTACTTGGGACTACAAGAGAGTGCCCCTGTGCCTGGATGGGCAAGGAACAAGAGCAAGCTGGAAATTATCGATGGCTAATTTTATGTGTCAACTGCACTGAGTCATACTAACCAGACGTTTGGTCAAACATTATTCTGGATGTTTCTACAAAGATGGTTTTTGAATGAGGTTAGCAAATTAAGTAAGAGGACTTTGAATAAACCAGAATGCCCTCCCTGGTGTGGATGGGCCTCATTCAGTCAATTGAAGCTCATAATAGAACAAAAGTGGACTCTCCACCCCACATCCACCAGCAGGAAGGAATTCTCAGCAGCTGGTCTTTGACCTTGAACTGCAATACATGTTCTCCAGCCGGCCAGCCCACACCACAACCTCAATAATCCCGTAGCTATTTCTTTGAATTATTGGTGCCCCCTTCTCCATGTACACATGCGTTGGTTGGTTCTGTTTCTCTGGAGAGCCCTGACTGATAAAATTAACTTAGCTTACTCATTCAATTTAGACTTCCTGTTGCTGCTTTCTAACAACAAATCTTCTCAGTTATTGACACTCCTTCCTTCTTTTTTTTTGGGGGGGGGTACTGTGGATTGAACACAGGGGCGCTTAACCACTGAGGCACATCCCCAGCTCTTTTTTGTATTTTATTTAGAGACAAGGTCTCATCAAGTTGCTTACAGCCTCACTAAATTGTGGAGGCTGGCTTTGAACTAGTGACCCTCCTGCCTCAGCCTCCCAAGCAGCTGGGATTACGGGTGTGTACCACTGCATCCAGCTTCCTTCCCCTTTTGGCATATATGTTGCTAAACATTCAAGTTTAGCCAACATATTCAAGTTAGCAGGATAGATACATCTATGTATATCATATTACTTATTCATTTCCTAAGATAGTTGCCCTTGTGGGCAATATGGTTCAACTTTCTCTACATAGGAAACCTGTGCCATATCTATACAACAGCTTAACTTTCCTCTTCCTGTGAACTTTCAACATAGTGTGTGGCAAAAAAAAAAAAAAAAAAAAAAAAAAAAAAAAAAAAAAAAGCTTCTTGAGCTTAGTTCCATAGAAGACATTCATATTTAGTAGATTCAGGATCACAACTTCAGATTCTGAGGACCTGAAAATGTTTAAATTCTAAGTGAGAAGAAATACATATTTGATTAATGTCAGAATTAAAAGAAAGCTTTAAGGCCATCACCCCCTGCAAAATAGCTCACACTCCTATGCCTGCATATTTTCAGGGGTCAGGGAATCAATACTGGGTAAAGATGGTGGTCCCAATGAAGCCAGAATTAGATAGGCAGTCAGTATACATAGGTAAATTCAGTCAGTTTGGATCAAGGAGGCCAATTTTGAGTGAGCCCTGGAAATTGGAGACTGCCCCCTGAGGGATTGAAATGTTAATTGCTTCAGAGCCCTTTCTCCAAAGAACCTGCCCCTGCTCCAACCTGTTGCTAAGGCAACCTGTCCCAGGAATTATCCCTCTCTACAGGGAGCTATACGGTTGTTAATGTGTTCTGGGCTGCACCATCCTGCCCTTCCACCTTCAGCCCACCTGTTTCCCATCTTTTGGCCACACCACTGAGCAGGAAGGAGAAAGATAAGGGGAAGAGAGCAGGAGAATAAAAGAAGCCTAGGACATAAAAAGGGCAGAACACCTTGCTTCTTGGGATACCAGGATACCAGCTCTGGTCCCCCTCTCCCTTGCGAGAGAAGTCTATGTTTCCCCTTTTAAAATAAACCCTGCTTTATATGATTGCCTCGGCGTGCTTCTCTAACAAACTTCAACAAGAGGGGAAGCAGGACTCACCGATAACCGGTGTTATCATCATCTTTGGACAGATGTGCATTTCTAAACCTTTACCTAGCATGATCTTCATGTAATGTCTTTCTACTGGGTAAGTCTAATACTCTGTCACATTATATCCTTTCAGAATTTGGTGACAACCATATCATGGCTCTCAGTCTCCTCCAGATTAAGCCCTCCCCTCCCAATATTCTCTCTTTTAATTTTTATTCTGTAAGCAATGCAGTCTCTCTAGATATGGTCTGACTATGGCCGGGTAAAGCAGAACTATCACTTCCTTTGTTCTAAAAATATTTTACTTTTGTTATGCCTCCTACATCTTTCGTATAAATGATGGTTGAGACACACCTATTCTAAGACTGAGTCTGATACCACCTAGGCAAGTATGACAGGTCAATAACATTTCCCAGGGAAACTTTTGTTCAGTGGCAAGTTCACAAGAAATTGGCTGATAGTAGCAAAAGAAATATTATTTTATTTTGCAGTACTGGGAATTGAATCCCAGAGCTCATGCATGCTGGGCAAGTACTCTACCACTCAGACTTGAGACCTTTTCAAAATTTTTGTTTTTGAAACAGGGTCTCCCTAAGTTGCCCAGGCTGGCTTCAGACTTGTTATTCTCCCATCTCAGTCTCTGGAGTAGCTAGGAATTATAGGTGTGTCACTGTGCCCGGCTCTAGAGGCACTTTAGTGTGAGAGTGAGACCTATTGTTTCCCCTTGTCTTCCTTGCTAAGAGAAGTTATTTTTATATGTGAAAATTATTCCACCTACTTGAGAGGCCAAAGGCAGAAGGGTTGTAAGTTTGAGTCCAGCCTGGGACTTTTTTTTTTTTTTTAACAAGACTTTGTCTCAAAAAAGAAAAAAAAATCATATTCAGCTTCAAGGAATGAATCACAAATAATCTTAGCCAATCATTAAATTCCATCCCTTCTGCCCTGTGCTTTGGTACACACACGTGACCCAATTTTTGCCAATGAAATGGCAAGGAAAGTTGTGTTAGCTTTGTGTTGCTGTGACAGAATACCTGAGATAAACAACTTAAAAGGAGGAAAAGTTTATTTTCATACACGGTTTCGGTTCATGATCACTTGGCTTGGTTGCTTGAAGGCCTAAAGTGAGGCAAAGCATCATGGGAGAAGCCCACAGTGACAGAAGAAAGCTGCTCTCCTCATGGTGGCCAAGAAGCAAAGCTGGTGGAGGCATGTGGAGTGGGTGTGTGTGCGTGCATGCAATATTCCCTTCAAGGGCATTCACCTGATGACCTAACTTCCTCTCACTTTCTAAAGGTTCCAAACCTCCCAATAGCACCATTATCTGGAGACCAACCCTTCAACACACCAGGCTTGGGTGGATATTTAAGATCCAACCCGAAGCTAAAGTCTAGTAGAGTTTATAAAATTATCTCCTTCCTGATTGAAAGAAACCAGAAAAAATTCTCCATCCGTTCCTTTCTTAGTGTGGAAGTATGACGCTTAAATCTATGCTGACTGTTCTGTGACCCTGAAACCAGTTAGGGGAACCAGGGTGAAACAGAGCTTCTGCAATCCTGGAATTGCCTGCTTTCAGATTTCTTACTCTGTGGCTTAATTGAACATGTTGTTCAATTAAGCCACAGAGTAAGACACTTTTACCTAACTTTTCTCCTTCAAACCAAAAATGGTTTAACTTGCAAAAAAAAAAAAAAAGGTCAAATATAAGGTGCTTAAGATCACTTAGTGATGAAAGTTTGTAATCAATCTCTTTAAGCTGGTTTTATGATCTACACATTGTACTTAATGCCTGCCACTTAGATTTTTATGAGAATTAAATAAGATAAAATTTTAAAAATAAGAAGTGTTTTCCTTAGTGATTGGCACATGGTAAATGTCAAAGATATGGAAGTTAATATTATTTTAAATTAAGACCTCTATTTTATTTT